GGAATTTGCATTTCAAAAAGGCAGGGAAATTTGATGGAGTACCTCAAAGTTTTGATGCAAAAACGCGTGATCGCACCGGCTCGCCTGGTGCGTTCCAGCCTGGGTTTGACAATGATCCCAGCCGTTCAATGAGTAATTTCCCGGCAAAAATTTAATAGCCCGTGCACGAGAACCACGCACGCCTGGGAGCTGAATTTGATAACTTTAAGTTGTAAGTGGATTGGGAACATTCCCTGAAAATTTCAGCCTCCCATCTTTGCTAATTTCCATTTTCCCGCGAAAAAATTTCGCGGGGCCGTACGTGGGAACCGCGCAAGCCTGGGAGATGAATTTGACGAACTTAAGTCGTACGTGGGCTAGGAACATTCCCTGAAAATTTCAGCTTCCCAGCTTTGCCAGTTCCTGAGTTTGCCATTTTCCCGCCGAAAAATCTCACGGGCCCGTACGCGAGAACCACACGCACCAGGACGCTGAATTTGAAATCTTTGATTTATATTTGGACGGGGAATATAACCTCAAAATTTCAGCTTCCTATCTTTTCGCGTTCCCGAGTTTTCAGTTTTCCCGCCAAAATTTTCTCCCCCTCTTACGCGAGGTCCAGACGTGCGTGAGGGATGGTATCGCGGTTCTAGGGTGGTACTTGGCCGGGGTTACCCATTAGTAAAATCTCGTTGGTGAAACTTGATTGGTAGTAGAGTTGAAATACCCGGACTAACGAACACACATACACACACACATTCAAACATACACACACATACACACATACATGCACACAGACGGGGTCGTCTCAATATGCGTTTTTGCAATTTGCATATAGGCAAAAACGCATAAAAACGATCGCTCTGCAGAAGTTGTTTATTTCCTTTTATGCAAAATTTGCGATGATTTACGGTATTGAGCGCAGAAGGTAAGTGTGAAGGAACAATCGTTAATGCAGTTAACCCAATTAATTCAAGTTTGGTGCAAAAACGCATCATCGCACCGGCTCGCCTGGTGTGTTCCAGCCTGGGCTGTAGTTTGTGTATAAACAAAAACGATAAAAATGATAGCAGTGTTGCTAGCCACTTTTCATTGTTGAAAATCTGATTTTTTTTTTTTTCATTTATTAGGGCTGTACTATTATTTTCAGCAAAAACAGCGACGATAAAAGTAATGCCTTTACTGTCATTAAGTGATAGCGACTTTTTAACGCTGTGTTAATTCAACAAATGGGCGAAAATTGAATCGGCAAAAATGGTCGCTAAGAGTTTGTGACTTGGATAGATACAGCCAAATATTTGGAAGTGTTTTCTTTTCATCGAAAGATCCTGAATTTGTTTTCAGCTGCAACGGGTATTTTCCGCAAGCGGTTTAGACGTATTTTACGTAGGGCTTATCTTTCAGGCATCGCAGTTGATTGGATTGGGAGAAAGCTGTACCTGTTAAATCGACAAGAGCGGTCGCTAAGAGTCTGTGAATTGGATGGTCGT